ACAGGACGTGGGAAAGCTGATCGATTAGATGCGTCTCCAGCCCAGCTCACGTCCAGGGCCGTCTCCTCGAGCGAAAACGACAGGCTCCGGCGCCGCGGGCTGAGCCTTGGCGCTGGGTTCTGTGGGCCAGAGAGACCCCGGGGCTGGCGCGCTCCTCGGGCCCAGGCTTGGCGCGATGCACCGAGCAGCGCGGGCTCCGGGCTTCGATCTCCGGGTCAGAGGCTCGGAGTCCGCATCGAGAGGGAGCGCAGCGGCCACGGCCACGGGATCGCGTGTCTGATCGCGTGTCTGTCCCAAAGGGCGCGCACACGCCTTCGCGCTAGGCTCTAACCAGCGGCGCAGTTCCTCGCCCTGAGCAGAAGGGCGCCCCCTCGTGTTCGCGGCGTCCCGGGCACGTGGCCCTGCATCTGCGGTGCCAGCTCCCTCTGGCCAGGGCCCGAGGCCCGCAGGGCGACCGGCCGGGCAGCCGTCACTCGGGGCCGGGAGCTGGAGCAGCCTGGGACCAAAGTGGGGACAGTGGCGCGAGTTAGGCCCGGATGTGCGAGACCCGCGGCCAGAGCCCTGGGGCGAACCTGCGGGTGGGGGTGGGCGAGCGCCCGGGCCGAGCTCTGCCCGCCGGTGACGTGGGGCGCTCCGTCCTCTGGCGCACCCAGGCCTGGCGTCGAGGCGTGGCCTCCCTGGGCTCAGGATCCCCCGGACGCCCTGACCCGGCTCTCAGCCCCGCCAGCCTCAAACCAGAAACTCGGCATGGTTCGAAAGCAGAGCCCGGAAGACCCAGGCAGGCCCCAGGGTCATCCACCTGCCCTTCTCCAGCCCGCTGGGCGCCGGGCCTAGGGGTGGCACGGCGGCCGGGGGCACAGAGCCGCAGTCTGGGGCTGGGCTGAGTCCCCAGCCCAACTGCACCAGAGGTCCGGATCCTGCGGGAGGCTCAGAGCTCCGTTTACCCAGCCACCACACGCATGTTGAGGTGATATTTTAATCTGTAGAGATCAGCTCACTCAGCAGATGCCTCTGTGCTCGCCTTCCGAGGCCTAACCCTCACACGCACGCGCGCACGCAAGCTTCGCATAGCACGAGGGAGAGCGGGCGGCCACAGCACCCGCCCCCAAGAAAGACCCCGGTGTCTGTGGAAGAGAAATCGGCCTTTCAGTTACCTGTGCTTAGCGGTATCAACCCATCTATTAATTATTTATATTTTCTTCATCTTTACTAGTAGCATGTAAGATGAAAAATTGGGAGGTTCCAAAGCAGGTAGGTATAGGTAGACGGTATTTTAAAAACTTGATGAGAAACAAAACACAGGTCACAGCACACAGCCAGTGTTTCCCCAGCCCCCACCCTGTGCGACTCCGGGAGAGAAGGAGAACCCGAAGAGTTCATCAAAACCCACACAAAGCACCTTTCCTCCGAGCCTGCTGCCCTGCCCTCGGGGGCTTGTTCTTTTCAGCCTCCTGGATGGAGTTCAAGGGCAGCCCTTTGACTTCAGAGTTCCCCCTCCCGTCCCTCAGACCCGAGGGGCAGGCTAGTGATGACCCGGACTCTTCCACTCGGGGGGCTGGTGCTCACCAGGGCTGGGGCCTCAGAGGCAGCACAGCCACCCCCAGGCTGTCTCCAGCCACTCAGCTTCCTCTCTCCCTCCTCCTCCTCCTCCTCCTCACTCAGGAGCTGGAGCTGCGACCTTTCCTAGGTGCCAGGTCAGACACAAGTGTGAAGCATCAAAGGAAGCCCACCTGTCCAGGGCTGGCCCAGCACTGCTCTGCCCTGGGCCAGCAGGTGCTCAGCACTGAGTCCTGGCTGAGGCCAATGCCGCGGGTCCTTTGACACCTGGGGCCTGCCCTGCAGTCCGAGCTGATTCCCAGAGGTTCAAGGGGATTCCCAGAGGGGCTGGCGCTACTCCAGCCCAGAGAGTCTCTCTCCACCCTTCTGTGAGGAAGTGGGATTGGTGCCCAGGCTGGGGCTGGCGGCCCTTCTCCTCGCCCACAACCCTGCGCCTTTGCAGGCTGTCGGGTCCCCAGTTAACCAGCGAGCCCTCAGTAGGAGCTCAGGAAGTGTCTGTCCTGTGCTCCACAGTAGCTGAGAACCTGCAGGCCCTGTCCTTCGTAGTCGCCCTGCCCTCTACTTGCAGACCTGGGCGGGGTGGAGAGGTTGTGCCTCTCCCTGCTGTGTGTCCCAAGGCCTTTCCCTCATCTTCCTCCACCCTGGCCTGGACCACATCTCACAGCTTCCCGGGATCCCTGCAGTCCAATCTCCCACCTCACTCCATTGTTCCACTTTAACTCTTCTGTATTCCACAGGACTCAAGGATCTCCAACTCAAGTCGCGCACAAGGGAGTGACAGCCGGCCCTGTGGAATTCGCATGGTAGTCACCCCTTGCCTTGGAGACTCGGTCAAAACCAAGACAAAGATATGTTTATTTTTATATCCAGTGTGCCAAAGTCAGAACATAGAGATGATCCAAGGGGAAAAGAGGGTAAAAAATAAGTGAGGGATGCTCAAAGCAAATCAGAGAGAAATTTCAGTGTTTCACATGTCCCTTCTACATTCACAGAGATGCATGGACTCAGCCTCTGGAATGGATCCCTTCTGTCCTGGAGGAGTTACACAAAGGGATTTCACAATCACAGGCACATGAGCTGGTGAAGGCTGAGCCTGCAGGCGTGGTGGATGACTGCAAAACCCAGGAGTCACTTGGTCTCGTGTCCAGACCTGACATTTTGGGGAAATCAAGGAGGACCGTGAGTGCACCGGGACAGAACACGTAAACCCCGACTTTCCTGCAAGAGCTGAATACCTGCGTGGCCCTGACTGGCTGTGGAACCCAGCGATGAAGTTGATTTCTGGATGAGGTCAGTGGAGATGGGCCATCAGGAGAAGTCAGTGGGGCCCATTGGTAGTTACGGTGACCGTAAGCACAGAGACACTTAACATTGCTTCTAGGTGCAAGACTTTATACTTTAAAATCATGCTTTAAAAGGCATCTCACCAGAAATGGAGATTTCTATGAAGGGTCCTAGGAGAAAATATCATCACTGATCTTGAAATAAGCATAGCTGCATTAGTACAGTTTAAACGAACAAATAAAAATACTAACTAGAAAGAGTGGTCTATATGCCAAACACCTATGTGCTTTACTTGGAAAAGATCTGATAAAGATGCTGCACTGGGGGTACTTAAGAAGATAAGGAGAATTGTTTAGAAAAGGGGCTCAGCTGGGATGCTCCAGAGTCCAGGGAGAGAGAGAAGGGGAATTCGTAACTGACTTGGCATTCAGCCAGTGGTTGTTATTTATCCCTATCCCTTGGGACCTTTAAAAAGAAACTTAAATATACTCTCATACCAACAAACATTAAAAGCTAAGTTCTTTTCACAGTCAATGATGGATTTAAATTATGAAGAATTAATGTTCAAGATCGATTGCTTTGAAGTATTCTATATGCTTCACAAAGTGTCATCAATTAACTATCAACCAGAGATTAATAACAGTAATTAATAACTAAATGCTGCTAATGTGGATTCACTTATGCAGACGAAACAAGCGTGGTTGGTGGGGAATGAGAAATTACTATCCCATTATACAGACAGTGAGAGTGAGATATAGTGGGATTGAGAAACTTGGCCAAGGATATGTGGCTGGAAGTGACGGAAATTGAGGATTCAAATTCAGGCGATCTGCTTCCACCCGGGGAGCAGGCTTTTTGTTTGTCACTTCTTTGATTGTGTGGCAGAACGGAGAGGTTTCCTGTAAGTTCAGGTTGCACAGGAGATTGGTAGTGGCTTCCGAGTCCCTGCCCGAGCCGGTGTCTGAGCAGCCAGGTATACCCACCCAGGGGCTCAGCCAGCGCTTCCACGCTCTCCTCCTGTAAATACAGCTACTTCTCTTTTTTAATGAGATGAACACATCCTATCTCTTCTACTTGTCTTCATCTCGGTTGAGTCTGAAACAGTGTTACAAATGCACGCAGGCATCTCCGGGACACTGAGAACGGGGGCTGCTGCGGGTCGTGCACCCTGTTGCCCCCGTGGCTCAGCCGCGTTCCTGTCCCTTGCCGTGGCCACTTGGAAGGGCGCTGTAAAGGTTCTGCCACAAAACAGCCTAAGGGTGGGAGCAGCACGCGTTAGAGAACAGAGGCAAAACGTACAGGAAGCGCCCTTGGCACTGCTGTTATTTGGCGAGGCTGTTGCACTCCAGGAGGGAGGGGCTTGGGCGGAGTGCTTCTAGCGATCCGTAAGTAGCAGCATTTTAATTTTTAAAGTATCCAGATTTCCGGGTTTAGTGGACTTCACAATGAAACGCATAAGAATACCCGTCTAAGGGGATCAGTGATGAATTATTTCTGTAGTCTAAACGTTCTAGCTAGGTTACAAAAGACGCCGGTTGTTAAACAATTTAACACTAATGTTAATGAATGTAGCATTTAAAGCATTAAGTTCAATTGTGTCCGGCTGGCTTCGTGTAACTCAGTCCTTGGTTAATACAAAGTTACACAGCAGGGTGGAAAAATCAATGAAGTGTTCATCGTGAAATTAAGCAGCGTGTTTCTGAACAGAGAATGGGCGGCTGGAATTTTACCCTTAGGATCTTATCCGCAGCTTGCAGCCTATTAAGCTATCTCCGTGCACTTCTCTTTTGTGCCTACGTCACCGATGTAAGGTTTTCATTTATTTATTTAATTTCAAGAAGAAAGAAGGGGTTCTGGGGCGAGCGTGGCTCCTCCCCACAAGGCGGGCTAGAGCAGGACTAGCGCGGGGCGCAGGGGCGCAGGCCAGGGAGGCTGCCCGCGAGGGGGCTGCACCCTGCCCCGGAATCTCAACGAATTTGGGGCAACGCGGACCTCTGAGCCCGCATTCCGGAGGGGCGTGGCCTCTCCCGGGCCGCCCAATGGGATCCCTTGCGAGGGATCCGAGGGAGAGTGATGTGGTTGCTAGGCAACGGGAGCGTCTCCCTCCCGCCCGCGCCCGGCGGTGGCGGAGCCGAGCCTCGCGGGCGCACGGCGTGCGGGGCCGGGCAGAGCCGCCGAGAGCCGGGCAGCCGCGCACCTCGGCCTCTGGGCTTCACGCGCCTCCACGCGCTCCTGCTCGCCGCGACCCCAGCTCCGCGGGGCGCAAAGTTGCTCCACCGCCCGCGCCCCTCGTCGCCCCGGCATCGCCGGCCTCGGGCGCGGACACACCCCTGGCCGGGCCGGGCAGGCAGGAGCGGGGAAAGTTGGCCGCGGGGAGGGTCCGGCCCGGACCCCGGTCCGCAGCCCCGCCCCGGCCCCACGCAGCGCCCGCCTGCTCCGCCCCGGCGGGGTCCACAAGTTCTCCCCGCCACGGAGGACAAAGGCCGCGCTGTGGCCCCGCGCCGGACCCGGAGGACCCGGAGGACCCGGAGGGCCGGGCATGAGCCCGAGGCGGGCGCGGAGCTGCGAGAGCGAGGTAAGCGCCCAGGGGACGGTCGCCGCGCGCGCCGCCCTTCCCTGTCCCCCGCGCCCCCCGCCCCGTCCCTCTGCAGCGGCCCGGTCCCCGCAGACCCGCTGGCTGGACGCAGGCGCTGGCGTCCTGAGAGTCCGTGCGCTGCGCACCGGGTCCTGCGGGACCGGGCTCGGCGGGCCCGCGGCTGGGCCAGGGGTGCTGGGCTCGGGGGCTCGCGACCCTGAGCCCGGCCTCGCTCCAGCCCCCGGCCAAGCGCTGCGTGGACACCGCGTGGCGTGGGGGCTACGGCCGCGGGACCGGCCGGTGCGCTCTGCCTCGGGCGCCGGGACTGAGCCGGGCGCGCTGCCCTGGAGCGAGAAACCAAGGCGCCAGCCTGGAAGCCCTCTCCGTGGATTCCATTCGGTTTTCCTGTCTGACAAAGATAAGTCGGAGAGGGCGGGAGATTCGCGATCCAAAAATAGACTAGGTAACACATCCAATAAGCTGGTTTCTCAGGAATTTCATTTGGATTGCTTCCTGTTCTTCCTTGGGTGAGCCAATGCCTAAGAATTTTTTCATGCCTAAGGTGTGCTACTTCCAGATGTGGATTTTAAGGGCGTGACCCCTGCTTATTTAAATATCGTAGAGTGCTGTAATTTTGAAAAGAAAACTGTACACTGTGAAGGTCTGTAGCCAAGTACTCCAGGAATCTGCTTGCAAATATTCTCCTCTTTGACTAGGAAGAGGTGTGTGGGCCCATGGGGACCGTGGCAATTGTTTTATTGGAAGTTAGATGACTGCCTGGGTCGGAGGGAGCTGAGACCTCAGCCTCGCTGCGTACTCCAGCTGCTTCGCTTGGATTTCTTTGGGTTACTGCCTCCTAGTTCGGCAGAGCTATTGTGCGTTTGGGGGAAAGTGTTTGGAGCGAATCATTATTCGTTGCATCTAAGTCCGTCTCCCTTGGTTTATCTGAAGACGTTTCAAGTCTGCCACCTGGACTTGGTTGGTTGTCTGCAGAAGCTGTTTCAGTCGGATATTACCGAGAGCACGGAAAGGCCCCTAGCTAAGCTCCTGTGGGTGGCATTTCCTACAGGGCTGTGGAGACACCCTTGTAGCAAGTGTGACCCCATATGCTGTGTGCCTTTTCCTAAGAGCAGCGCCACTGAATCTGAGGAGATTTGGAAGCTGGGAGCACTTAATAAAGTGAGATTTCCCCTTTCACAAGGGCAGTGCCTTGTATTTGCAGATTCCCACACCTGTAGGTTTCAGCTGTCTACCCTTTGGGTTCTGATCGCATATTAGGAGCACACAGACATTTCGAAGAAATGTGCCCTAGCCTGTGTTGATTGTATTTAGAGAAACACAGGTGCTCAGGATGCAGAATGAGGAGAGGATGTCTTGGAACTTACAGATTCACAAGTGAGACAATGAAAATTTGAGTAAAAACTTCAGTGGGCTAAAAGCAAGAATATGGTAAGAAAACCTTGTAGTATTCATAAGGCACTCCAAAAAGAAGAGGAACTCTGTTATAAAGCTTTTGGTTCTATGAACTAGAGCCTTAACAATAAAATGTGCACCTTGGAGAAACTTTACCAGAGCACACAGAGGGCTGGACTGGGGGATTAAAGAAAAGGGTGCCGGTCCCTTTACATGGAAGGCTGCTTTCCACATTTCAGAAATGTGGCATCAGTCGGTCAAGGGAATATGTGTAAAGCTACATGAGCAGATATTGTTATGAACGATGAAAACATACCGTGACCCACTCACTTGTATATGGTTGACTTTTAAAAGTTTGTGGTACCTATGAAAATAAGTAAGTATAAATCGGGTGATATGAGCCTTTACCAAGTATCAAAATAATGGGCTCATCTTTGATTTTATAGTATGGCAATTAAAATTGGTAACCTGGCCAAGTGCAAAGTTAGCATACAACCCGATGATCTTTGTCTTATGTTGAAATTAGTGTTTGTGTTGTGTGAGACAGCTGAGATGTTCCCCACAAGATCACCTGCCCCACTGCCCTACTTCCTGTACACAAAATCGAGGATGGTCTTGTTTTAAAAGATTCACAACTGTATTTTACAACTTTCACATGTCCATTTGGCTCTTGTTTATGTCAAACTGTTTTCCCCAGAAGAAACCATCTTTTCTTTCTTGTTCACTCCCCTAACAGTGATCAGTCACAGGACATGCTTGGTCTTTTCCTGGGGCTCCAGCTTTCTCCTGCAGAAACACAGCCTGTTGGCTTGGGTTTCAGTTCCTTTTCCTGGACTCAGAATCATCCCAAGAAGCCATTAAGCAACAGAAATGAAAATGAACAGCCAATTTCTATGGAAAAACTGCCAGAGCAGGATACACTTAGGCACACTGGAGTAGGGCCAGCGTGAGGGAGACTTGCTCTCTCCCAGAGAAACTCTCCAAAAGAAGTAGGTGTTCGCTCACACTGCTCTCACTTTGCTATTTTGCACTGAATTCACCCTGCATTCTCGCCTCTTTCAGACTCTTCTAAATGATCCAATTCTACATTACATGAATTTGTTGAAATTGCTCCCAAGAAGTAGCATAAAATGATAGAAAATTATCTACCAAAACTGAACACATAAAATGAGTGCAATCATAGTAATGACAGAGACAGAGGAAACCACCAGGTCATCTCCCCCTCCACTTCTAATGCAGGCTCAGTCCCTACAGCATTACAGCGTTTTGGAACGCTTTGGTCCGTTCTGGTTTCAAATGGCTCCTGAAATGATTCTTCCAGAATCTTTGAAAGACTATTTCACAGTCTAATGGTTCTCCCTATTAAGAACTTTGTTGTGATAGTCAGCCTAATTTTTTCCTGATTCTGTTTTATCTTATTACTAATTCTTTACTCTAACCTCTCTGGAGTAGTCCATCCTCTTGTCTGATTTAGTCATCATCCAACATTTATTTTTACAGGTCTTGTAAAATACAAAGGCTTTACACAGTTACAGGAGGTACCTAGACATCCTTGCTAAGTATTTAAGGCACATCTTTTAGGTCATTTATTTGAATGTGTATGGCTACATTTTCCTAATAATTTGCCTTCTCCCAGAGAAGGGAATTGCCTTCTCCGACACTGTGACCTTTGAGGATATTGAAAATGACCCCTTCTAAGCAGTGTTCGGTGTGGACGCACATGTGTGAGGCATTTTCATTGCAAACGTGGTGCCCTGTGGACACCCACACTGCAAGGGATTTCTCAGACACACATTGGTCTGATGCCCCACTGAGCTCAAGAAGCTGTTGTCATGTAAATTCTTCTATTGAAATAAAAGCGATTTCCATAATTAATAGAAGGTGCTAGAGATACGACAGTGTGTACGGGTTGTCTGTGTGTGAACAAAATATAGACCTTCTGTTAGAATGTTCAGTGACAACTTCACCCCAAAACGGACTGACGAAGCCAGGAGAGAGAAGACCAAATTCTTCACTGTATGAAAAATAAGCCTAAATCATGCATACATCAATGTGGATTATTCTTAGATTTACAGGGAGGTACCATATGTGAAGGTTACTTGAAAAATAGAAAAGCCTAAAATTACCACAAGAGAAAAGCAGGTTTTCACTTTTTCACTTCAAATCTGCTTCCAAGACCTCCATTGTAGGCCTGTGTAAGATTCCCACCCCTGCATCTTGATGGACCCTCTGTCCCACCTGATGGCTCCTCCAAGCCCCAGGTCTGAACAGGCCAGCTCTGCCCCTCAGCCCGGGAGAAGGTGATTGAACTCAGGGCCTGCATCCCCAGGCGCCCAGGACAACCCAGGAACGCGGGGCTCTGAGTGAGCAGAACCCGCGGCTGAGCCGCCAGCCCACTGCCCCTTCTTCCCTGTTTGCTGGACATCAGAGGACACACAGGAGCATCCGTGTGGGGCAGAGGGAGGGGCAAGGAGCCATCCCAACAGGAGTGCATTTCTAAGGGACTAAAACTGGGCTTCATGGTCCAAGCTTATTCCTTTCCAAATACACTCAGAGTTGGCATAAAACCCAAAGGGTGAATGAGAAGCAGAATGGAGGATCCATACTGGGAAGCAGGAAAAACTTGTTTAAATGGGAAGTGGAATGAGGGAGGGGGAGGGGAAGGAAAGAATTGGAAATGGGATTTTAAAAATGGAAACAAAGCTTTTGTAAGTGGGGAGGAGAAGCAGGACTGAAGGGAGGCCATAGGAAAAAAAGGATTAAGATACATTATGCACAGGTGCAAAGTCCCTGTAGGGAATGTGATCGATATATATGGCAAGCACATACTAATAAAAAAATAGATTGTACTCATTTCAGCAGCAGATACACTAAAAAGTAAGTAAATGAAATTGGACTGCATGGAATAAACCTTTGCTAACCAGCAGCTTCCCTTCCACAGTCCTAAGGGTTCTTATGGTGCCACTCATCAGATTGGTGAGCACTCTCAAAATGACTTTCTTTAGAAACAAGGGGGGATCAGGTTTTAGGCCAGGAAAAGTGGGCACTAATATACTTGTGATTTCTCTCTGGGACAGAGAGCCTTTTGAAGAAGTCAGTGTCTACACAGAATATGGTATTTTTCAGCAACAAACTACCCTGTGTGGAAATTGTATACTGTACTTTAAGGGGAGAAATAAATGCGCAGGTAGTCGGTATAGTTTATGCCAAGCATAGATGAAAATACCATGTTTGAAAACAAAGCCATTTCCTAGCCAAGATACCTCCATAGGAAGCAGAAGGTAGCTGATTCCTTGTCAGAATTTACAGTCACTGTTACTGTCTATGCACACACACGACATTTGAGTAAATTTAATTAGAAGAATACAGATACCCACCAACCAGACAGAACTTTTGGGAACTGTGATCCTAGATAGTTTGTAAACAAATTGCTAATGTAATAGCGTAGGAGTATTGTGAGCACAACAATTTCCAGGCTCGTGGCTAATTTTACAGTAGGCACTGGACTTGAGAAGACCCCTAAGGAAGATACACCACCAGAAGGAAAAGATAGTGAAGAAGCAGCTTGTCAGAAGATGTTTATTAAG